CCCCCCCAATGCTGCCCTCCATAGGATCCACCCCCCAAATCTTCAGGTATTTCCCTTCTTAGAGCTGGCAACCCTACTTTCCCCTCAGTGCCTGTTGGTAGGCAACTAAGCTTGGTCCTGTCACCTATTTTGGCCTTTGTGAGAAAATACATTGGGGCCAGTTCTGATTGGGTTGCCAACTCCAGATGGGAAATTCCTGGAGATTGAGGGATTTTAGAAATTTTAGAAATTTTTAAATTTAAGTCTGCTGTAACTTGAGACCAGAGAAATAAAAAAACGTCTGCTCATCCTCCGGTTCATCCGTATACCCTTGCTGTCTTCCGTCCTGGTCGCAAAACAAAAATCCCAAACCCCATGTAAGTTTCTGAGTTCTCCAGGATGTTGGATGTTACAAATTAAACAGAAAAAGGTTTAGGACATTATATAAACCCCGGTGTATCCGGTAGGGTTGCCAGGTCCTCCCTGGCCAGGGGATGGGGGGTAGAGTCATCAGATCCAGGTTGAGAAACTCCTGGAGTTTTGGGGATGGAGCGTAGGGAGGACAGGGACCTCTGTGGCATACCGCTGAGCGGTCGGGTTAGAACGGATAAAAGGAAGTACTTCTTCACCCAAAGAGTGATTAACACTTGGAATTCACTGCCACAGGAAGTGGTGGTGGCTACAAGCATGGACGGCTTCAAAAGGGAATTAGATAAGCATATGGAGCAGAGGTCCATCAGTGGCTATTAGCCACAAGGTATAGATAGGGGCTCTGGGGCAAGTGATGCTCTGTCATCTTGGTGCTGGGGGGGGGGGGCAACAGTGGGAGGGCTTCTAATGTCCTGGCCCCACTGGTGGACCTCCTGATGACACTGGTATTTTTGGCCACTGTGTGACACAGAGTGTTGGACTGGATGGGCCTTTGGCCTGATCCAACATTGGCATCTCTTATGTTCACATGTTCCCCAGAACTCTTATGTTCTTACGTACACCCTCCAAAGCGTCCATTTTCTCCAGGGGAACGGATCTCTGTAGCCTGGAGACAAGTTGTAATCCTGGGGGATTCCCAGGCCCCACCTGGAGGTTATAGAATCCAGGGAGATCCACGGGGACAAAGTATAATAAAAAAAAAATACAAACCCCGTGAAATTATAACTATGGCAAACTTCAATACCTATCCTGATTAAGATATGTACTGTTGTCGGGTCGCCATCGTTATAATGTCACGGGTTTTTTTGTATTTTTTGGATTATACCCACCTCGAGGTTGGCATCCCTCCTCGCTGGCCCCCAGAGACGCCCTACTTTTTGGGGGAGACCCTGCCCTATGGGCACGGGTTCGCTCCGCACGTCCACGCGGGAGCCGGAAAGCACCCAAACCGCCCTTCCCGGCTCATCCCGCCTCCTCCCCTCCGAGGGAGGCGGAGGGAGGAAAAGGGGGCGTGTCCTACGGAATCCCCGCCCCCTTCCCCCGGGTTGGAACTTGGCCGAGGCGGCGCCATTTTGTTTTTTTGGTGGGCGGGAAGATGCGGGAGGCGCTGAGGCTGCTGCTGCTGCTGCTTCCTGGACGGGGCGTGTGAGGAGCGGCGGCGGCGGCGGAGGGCGCGTCGAGGCCGGGTCGATGGACATGGCTGCGCCGCGGGGGCCTCCCGGTGGGGTGGGCGGCGTGGCCGGTCCTCCGCCCGGCCAGCCCCGCGAGTACAAGCTGGTGATGCTGGGCGCCGGCGGGGTCGGCAAGAGCGGTAGGTCGGAGGGAGCGGGAGACGGGTTGGCCCGTGGCCCGCAGAAAAGGGGGGGAATGGGTCGGCCGCGCGTCGTGTGTGTGTGTGTGTGTGTGTTTTGGGAGGGGGTGTTCGCATGCGGAACTCCCTGCCACAAGAGGTGGTAGCGGTCCCGTGGGCGGCGGCGGTGCGTGGGAAGCGGGGGAGGCGTTCGCCCGTGGAACGCGCTGCCTGGTGATGGTGTCTGCTCGGGTGGAGGGACTGCTTAGGAAGGGGGATGACGGGCGTTCGCAAAGGGAGCTTGCTTGCCTGGAAGCGAGCGGTCGCTCGGGTCGGAGTCTAGTGTTGTGACCAATGTTCCCTCTAAGCTGTGGAGTCTTGTGAGCAGAAATTCTACTTTGTGAGCTACTGGCATTAAAGTGGTGAGTCAGCAATTTGGCTACTGCACAAATTAGTTTGCTCTGGAGCCCTCCTTCCTGAGCAAAGACAAAAATGTGTGAGCCAGAGACTAAAAAACTGTGAGCTAGCTCACACTAACTCAGCTTAGAGGGAACACTGGTTGTGGGAGGGTGGGGTTTGCCTGCAGAACGCACTGCCTCAAGACAGTGTTTCCATGGGAAAGCAGATTATGGGAAGGATCCAAGTTTCAATCCAGTGGCACCTTTTATTTAGTTTTATTTACTTGTTTGATTTGTATATTGCCCTCCCCACCTACGGGTTCGGGGCGGTTCACAACAGTCTCCATACAATGCCATGAAGACGATAATTAAAACAGCAATTAAAACCATAAAAGACCAAGCGACAAGCTAGTTCTGATCGGCGATGCTGATATTAAGATCCAGGCCACCAGTGTCAATTCATAGGTCAATTCAGCAGTACCGGTGTTAAGATCCAAGCTGCTGGAGGGGAAGAGAGAGCCAGCAGAGGAAAAGGACGTCTGCCGCCTCAACCGAAGGTCTGGTGGAAGAGCTCCGTCTTGCAGGCCCTGTGGAAGAGCTCCGTCTTGCAGGCCCTGTGGAACTGTAATAGAGACCGCAGGGCCCTGATCTCGTATGGGAGCTCATTCCACCAGGAGGGGGCCAGGGCCAGTCGGACGTCCCCCAGGGACTGCTAGGAGATGTTGATTCGTGGACCTCAGTGTTCTCCGGGGCTCATATGGGGAGAGGCGGTCTCGAAGGTATGCTTCGTTGGTCTTAAAAGGTGTGACTGGACTCAAACTGTCCTGCTGCTTTGGACCGACATGGCTGCCCCACCTGGATTTTTCTTTATGGGAATGATTGCTAGCAGGCTTGGAGTAGAATGTTCTGCTCCTCCGGGAGAGGTTTAATACCAGGAAATAGGCAGTTGAAGCTTTTTTAAAAAATTGTTTGTTATTTCTAGTTCGCCTTTCTCACGCGGACTCAAGGCGGATGACACAGAGTCCGTTGTAATGCAATCGGGATGAGACATTCCGTGAGCAGTACAATAGGATTAGGATTGGGAAACTAACCGGGACTCTAAAAACAGAAGCGAAGGAGACATATTGACATGACACAGTGAATGATGCCAAATTCCATAGTAGTCAGTCAAGGCTTTTCCCAGCTCCAGGCAACTTGGCAACTGCATCCCTGTATTAAAACACCCCCCCCCCCCAATGGAAGGGTGGTGCAGGGAAAAGATTGGTGTGATTGCCTGTGAAACTCGTTGCCTCGAGGCATTGGCTGTTCTAGTGGAAAGATAGTTTGTGGGAATGGCTAGAACTCACAGCCTCAGATGAGGAAATGAGGCCTATGAGGAACTCAGAGTCGTGGTTGCTTTGCTGCCTGATACAGAGTGCAGCAGGAGGATTGGTTCCCCCACCCCTGTGGGACTCACTGCCTCAAGGTGCACTGAATGCCTTTGGAGTGTGAGGGTCGGGTATGGGAGTCACAAGGGAGGACAGTTTGCCCCCCCCCTCCGCTGCTGCTAGATGTAGTGATAGCAGCTGGGATGCAAGGGTAGAAGTTGGCATGTAGAACTCGCATTCACGAGGTGAAGAAGAAGAGATTGGATTTATACTCCGCCCTTCTTTCGGAGTCTCTAGAGTGGCTTACAAACGCCTTTCCCTCCCCCCCCCGCAACAGACACCCTGTGAGGTAGGTGGGGCTGAGAGAGCTCTGAGAGAACTGTCCTTGAGGGAACAGCTCTAACAGAACTATGGCTTGCCCAAGGTCATCCAGCAGCTGCAAGTGGAGGAGTGGGGAATCAAACCCGGTTCTCCCAGATTAGAGTCCGCACCTCTAACCACTTCACCAGACTGACGATTGCTGGGAGGGGAAAGCGGTGTGTGGGAATGAACTGAGAAAGAGGTTGGTGTGCGGGATTGAGGGGTGGGTTGGGGAATCGCCATGTGGTTCTTGCCACCACCATGAGATGTTGAAATGGCCACTCTGACCAAAGGGGCAGGGCACAGGGGGATTGGTGGGGGGGGGCCCTTGAGCATAATGGAAACACACATATTTATATTTAATCAGACCATCGGGCCATTGAGGTCAGTATTGCTTACTCAGACTGGCAGCAGCTCTCAAGCAGAGGCCTCGCACATCACTTGGTCCTCCTAACTGGAGATGCTGGGGATTGAACCTGGGACCTCCCTTCGTCATCCTGCACCACCCCTTCCTGATGTGGGACAGAGCGTGTCTTTCTCTGCTTAGAACATAAGAGACGCCAATGTTGGATCAGGCCAAAGGCCCATCCAATCCAACACTCTGTGTCACACAGTGGCCAGAAATTACAGTATTTGTCACGTGCCGTTTGGGATTGCGCACCGCTCTCCTTGTTTTGTGTCCTCTGACTTGTGCTCCGGTCTCTTCCTTTTAGCCATGACCATGCAGTTCATTAGTCATCGTTTCCCAGAGGATCATGACCCCACTATCGGTGAGTTTGTCTGCCGGATCCCTTCTGTTCCTCTCCGGCAAATGCTTTGGCTTCGTGTAACTTAGCTGTGAAGGGGAATCCCAGACCTCCAAGTTGGGCGCCTCACTAAGATGGAATGTGGTTTAATTGGCCGTTTTCCAAAGCTTGTGAATTACAGCCGGCCGTGAACAGTGCCAGCTTGGGTGACTGGATACACAGTGTTGGCTGATGTTAAGTTCTAATGCTTGTCCTATTTCCAGGGCAGGTTACCCCAAAATGAAAAAGGCATCTGGTGAAACACACCCGACTTCTGTAATTCTGACACTGCGGCACCTTCTTGAACTGTAGGCAGACATACGTCGCTGTGTTTACTCTGGAGGGAAAATAAACTATGGGTTGAGGAGCAAAGCTGTGAACAGTGCCAGCTTGGGTGACTGGATACACAGTGTTGGCTGATGTTAAGTTCTAATGTTTGTCCTATTTCCAGGGCAGGTTACCCCAAAATGAAAAAGGCATCTGGTGAAACACACCCGACTTCTGTAATTCTGACACTGCGGCACCTTCTTGAACTGTAGGCAGACATACGTCGCTGTGTTTACTCTGGAGGGAAAATAAACTATGGGTTGAGGAGCAAAGCCTCCTACACGTATTTTGCATGAATGTCCTTATTTGAATAGATGCGCTTATCATTAATCATTCTTAGAAACAAGCACTGCTGGATCAGACCAGCGGTCCATCTAGTCCAGCATCCGGTCTCATGCAGTAGCTAACCAGTTATTTTGGAGGACCAACATCAAGGCACAAAGGCCAAGGCCTTTCCCTGACGTTGCCTCCTAGCACTGGTTTTCAGAGGATTAGTGCCTCTGAATGTGGAGGTTTAGTCACCAGCAATGCTCCCTCTAAGCTCTGGAGTCCCGTGAGCAAATATGCTACTTTCTGAGCTACTGGCATTAAAGTTGTGAGCGAGCGATTGGGCTCCTGCATAAGTTAGTTTGCTCTGGAGCCATCCTTCCTGAGCTAAGACAAAAATGTGTGAGCCGGAGGCTAAATTACTGTGAGCTAGCTCACACTAACTCAGCTTAGAGGGAACACTGGTCACCAGGGTTAGTGGCCACTGATAGACCTCTCCTACATGAATCTGTGTAATCCCCTTTAAAGGTGTCTGTATGTGTAGTCAACACCACATCCTCTGGCAGCAAATTCCACACTTCAATCACTCGCTGTGTAAAGTGGTATTTCCTTTTGTCCGTCCTGAACCTACTGCCCATCAGCTTCCTTGGAGGCCCTCGAGTTCTAGTGGTGGGAGAGGGAGAAAAGTTTCCCCTGTCCCCTCTCTCTACCCCATGCATACTTTTATAAGCCTCTACAAACCTTTTTCGTCTCTTTCCTAAACTGCCAAGTCCCAGGCTCTTCAGCCGTTTCTCATACAAAAGGTGCTCCAATCCCTTGTTCGGCGAAGAATTGCTTTCACTAGCTGCCGCCGGTTCTCCCCCTCCAGCCCTCACAGGCCCACTGTTCCGTCTCCGTGTTAAAGCACAGCTTATTCTCTTCTCTTCCTCCGAAAGGTTCTGTAACTTTTGCAGCCTGTCCCCTTTGGTGGATCAAGACTGTGTCTGCTGTGATGCTAGCGGGGGGGTGTCTCAGTAGAGTCACTGAGCGAAGGGAAACATGGCTTCTCTTGTGCTCCAGTGAAGCAGCGTCCCCGGCCATTACTGTTTCCCCACCAGTTGCTTGTGATTAGTCGAAGCTGGAACTTGGCTGCGGCGTCCAGTCAGTCGGCGGAACCCGCTTCAACGCGTCTGTATCCGCTGGCAGGGGTCCGACTTTGTTTTTTAAAGGGCAATGACACTTCAAGAAACCCCGGACAAAATCATATAGCGAGTGCGTTGCCCTTTGCGCTTGAGACGCTGAGCATCTGAGTGTCTCTTTCCTACAGAGGACGCTTACAAAATCCGAATAAGGATTGACGACGAACCAGCCAACCTGGACATTTTGGACACGGCAGGCCAGGTACGTAGTTATGTAGCATCGCCTTAGCCGTTCTTTAGCACGATCAAAGCGCTTCGCGTATGTTGTCTTGTTACCCTGATGACAACCCTGCAGGGTAGGTCAGTATTATCTGTGTTACCAGCATTAAAATTGTGAGTGAGCGATTTGGCTGCTGCATAAATTAGTTTGCTCTGGAGCCATCCTTTCCTGAGCTAAGAAAAATCTGTGATCCAGAGGCTAAAAAACTGTGAGCTGGCTCACACTAACTCAGCTTAGAGCGAACACTGCTGCCCACCCGCCCTTAATTGGATGAATCTTTGAAGCTTGTATTTTATTATTTCCTGCGAAATGCTGTGGCTGATGAAATAACAACAGAACGCCACTGGTGGTCACTTACGATTAAATTGTTGGTACATAGAAATTGAAGTCTAACTCAGCTTAGAGGGAACACTGGTTATTACTCCCGTATTATGGAGGCTTGCTAATGTCGCCTTGTGAGTTTCAGAACTGGTGCTCTGTAATTGGCTCATTGGTCTAGGAGTGGAGAGACCTGAGTTTAGATCCCTCCTTGGTCCACGAAACTCATTGGCCGACCCTTGGCAACTCACTCCGTCTCCCAAGGTGGTGGTTACAGTACAGTGGAGGAGGACAGAACAGCGTACACATGAAGCTGCCTTCTACTGAATCAGACCCTCGGTCCATCAAGGCCGCTCTTGTCTACTCAGACTGGCAGCGGCTCTCCAGGGTCCCAGGCAGAGGTCTTTCACGTCACCTTTAACCTTATTTCAACTGGAGACGCTGAGGATTGAACCTGGGACCTTCTGCATGCAAAGTATGTGAGACCAGACAGGAAGCTGCCATCTACTGAGTCAGACTCTTGGTCTGTCGGGGTCAGTATTGTCTACTCAGACTGGCAGCAGCTCTCCAGGGCCTCGGGCAGAGGTCTTTTGTATCATTTACAACCTGATTCGTAACCGGAGATGCCGGGGATTGAACCTGGAACCTTCTGCATGCCAAGCAAATGCTCTGCCACTGAGCCACAGCCCCTCCCTGGACGTCCCCAAGTGTGTAACAGCCCTGAGCTCCGTGGAAGCAGGGTGGGGTTAACAAATAGACGCAAAATGAAAAGGTCACCGGGACTTCCTGGTGTAGCCACGATTGCTGTGTCAGCGCTCCTCCGAGCATGGGACGTTTTCTTCTGCTGAGTCAGACCTTTTCTTCCGTCAAGGTCAGCACTGCTCTGACTGGCAGCCACTCTCCAGAGTTCCAGAGAAGGGTTTTCGGCATCACCTCCTAACCGGCCCTTTTAACGGGACACGCCGAGGGCCGAGTCAGCAGCCCCTTTGGGTGCAAAGCCAGGGGGCCCTTCCCTCTACGCAGTAACACCATGGCCGGCAAAGGGCAGCTGCTTCCCCACTCTTCCTCTACCCTCTTGCTGGCCTTGCACCTTCCCTGGTGCCCGCCACGTGTTTTTAGAAAGTGGGCCGGGCCAGGCGGGGCTTTTGCCCAGCCAGGCTTCTGATTGGTCATTGGAGTTGTTAGGTTTTTTTGTATATTTTTTGTATTGTGTGCGCACACCTCGAAGTCAAGGTGACCTCTGGTGACTGACCCTTACTGGGGGCCTGAGCAATATTCAGAGGTGTGGCCTCCACCTCCCGACTGCTGCTATTCCGAGGAGAAGAAGAGGAAGAAGAGATTGGATTTATGCCCCGCCCTTCACTCGGAGACTCAGAACGGCTTACAAACTCCTTTCCCTTCCCCTCCCCACAACAGACACCCTGTGAGGTAGGTGGGGCTGAGAGAGCTCTCTTGAGGACTGTCCTTGAGAGAACAGCTCTGAGAGAACTATGGCTTGCCCAAGGTCATCCGGCAGCTGCAAGTGGAGGAGTGGGGAGTCAAACCCGGTTCTCCCAGATTAGAGTCCGCGCACTTAACCACAACACCAAACTGGATCCCATCCAAGCACTTGCCAGAGTCGACCCTGCTTAGCTTCCGAGATCCGACAGGATCGGGCTTGCCTGGCCTATCCAGGTCACGGCGGCCATTGGAGATGTGATTTGCAGTGCAGATTTTTAAAAAAACGTTGAGTTGGCGGCAGCTGCCACTTCACCGCAAGGCTCTTCACCATATGATCGGAGGGAAGCCGCAGCGGCCACTTTGAGGCCATGCCCACCAGGCTGTGTCAGAATTCCAAACGTCCCCCCAGGCTCAAAAAAAGTCAGGGACCCCTTCTCTACACTGCCCTGTCATTACGCTAACTAAGAACTGACAGCCAGCCTGGTGTAGCGGGTAGAGTGTCAGACCAGGATCTGAGAAACCCAGGTTCGAATCCTCGTCTCTGCCAGGGAAGCTCGCTGGGTGACCTTGGGCCAGTCACACACACTCGGCCTAACGTACCTCGCAGGGTTGCCGTGAGGGTAAAACAGGAGAAGAGAATGACGCAAGCCGTTTTGGGTCCCCATTTGGAAGAAAGGCGGGATGTGAACAAAGGAAATGATCTCTTTTTCTCCCCCCGTGTCACTTCTCTTGCAGGCAGAATTCACTGCCATGAGAGACCAGTACATGAGGGCGGGCGAGGGCTTTATCATCTGCTACTCGATCACGGACCGCCGGAGTTTCCATGAAGTGCGCGAGTTCAAGCAGCTGATCTACCGCGTCCGGCGTACAGACGAGACCCCCGTCGTCCTCGTGGGAAACAAGTCTGATCTGGCCCAGCTGAGACAGGTAAGGACTCGGGGCCCTGAACGAGATCCGTTCTCGCCGGGTTTTGGTTTTAGCTGTTTTCCGAGGGAGGGAGGAAAACGGGCGGTCAAGATGGTTGGAGATACAGAAACGCAGAGCGGGAAAGGGACCCCAGGGGTCTTGTAGCCCAAGCCCCTGCACCATGCAGGAAATTCACGACTGCCTTCCCCCTCTCCTACCAGTCACCCCTGCTTTGTGCCCAGAGGAAGGCCAAAGACCTCCAGGGTCCCTTGGCCATTCTGGCCTGGAGGAGAATCCCTTCCTGACCCCAAAGGGGTGATCCGGGATTACCCTGGGCGTAGAAGAAAGGGCCACGAGAGCCGAGCACTGGCCCATCTCTCACGGTCTGTCTAAATTTGGTGTAGTGGTTAAGTGCGCGGACTCTAATCTGGGAGAACCGGGTTTGATTCCCCACTCCTCCACTGGCACCTGGCTGGATGACCTTGGGCAAGCCATAGTTCTGACAAGAGCTGTTCTCAATGGCAGTCCTTGAGACAGCTCTCTCAGCCCCACCCACCTCACAGGGTGTCTGTTGTGGGGAGGGGAAGGGAAAGGAGTTTGTATGCCGCTCTAAGACACCTTTGGGTAGTGAAGGGCGGGGTATAAATCCAATCTCCTCCTCCTCTTCTTTTACCTCACAGGGTGTCTGTTGTAGGGAGGGGAAGGGAAAGGAGTTTGTAAGCCGCTCTGAGACACCTTTGGGTAGTGAAGGGCGGGGTATAAATCCAATCTCTTCTTCTTCTTCTTTTACCTCACAGCGTGGCTGTTGTGGGGAGGGAAGGGGAAGGAGTTTGTATGCCGCTCTGAGACACCTTTGGGTAGTGAAGGGCGGGGTATAAATCCAATCTCCTCCTCTTCTTTTACCTTACAAGGGTGTCTGTTGTAGGGAGGGGAAGGGAGTTTGTAAGCCGCTCTGAGACACCTTTGGGTAGTGAAGGGCGGGGTATAAATCCAATCTCTTCTTCTTCTTCTTTTACCTCACAGCGTGGCTGTTGTGGGGAGGGAAGGGGAAGGAGTTTGTAAGCCGCTCTGACACTCCTTTGGGTAGTGAAGGGCAGGGTATAAATCCAATCTCCTCCTCCTCCTCTTCTACTTCACAGGGTGTCTGTTGTGGGGAGGGGGAAGGGAGAGGAGTTTGTAAGCCGCTCTGAGACACCTTTGGGTAGTGAAGGGCGGGGTATGAATCCCATCTCTTCTCTTCTTCTTCTCTTCTAAGTTCATAGTGAGTGATCGAATCGGCACTGCTGTCCCAAGGGAAAAATGAAAGTGTATTTTCGGGAAGATGGGAATGCCTGTATAATTGGATTTATAAAGTGTGGAAAATATAGACTCAATTGTATGTAAGGACAAATGTATGTAAACAATAACTAAGTGGAAAATCAATAAATAAAATTTGCAAAAAAAGAAAAAAAGAATCGGCACTGCTGTCAGATGGCCATCTAGCCTCTGCTTCAAAACCTCCGGTGGGGAAAAGAATTTTTAAGTTTCTACATAAGAGGAAGGGGGGACACTTTAAAGAAAAGTCTTCAACAGAGGGATATATTGAAGAGATTGGATTTATAGCCCGCCCTTCACTACCCAAAGGAGTCTCAGAGCGGCTTCCAATCTCCTTTCCCTTCCCCTCCCCACAACAGACACCCTGTGAGGTAGGCGGGGCTGAGAGAGCTCTTCTGAGGACTGCCCTTTGAGAGGACAGCTCTGAAAGAACTTGTGACTGGGCCAAGGTCACACCAGCAGCTGCCCGTGGAGGAGTGGGGAATCAAACCCGGTTCTCCCAGATTAGAGTCTGCACTCATAACCACTACACCAAACTGGCTTGTAACTGTTGCCAATGTAAATATGGTGCAGTGCGGGGGGGGGGAGAAAGCGGTAATTGGAGCCTCAAGTCTGAGAGAAAAGCTGGAGCTGTGTGTACTAAGAGGAGTGTCCCGGGTGTCGAAATCCTCTCTTGACGAAGAGATCAGTTAAAAAGCAATGCTACGTGGGAGGCTTGGAGCGCAAACCCCGGGAAGGCACGCAAAAGGGCACGTGCCACTGTGTGGGCAGCAATGCGCTGTGTTATTTGAAGCTCACTCTCATGTCAAGAGCTTCGAAGACTGTCCCGTAAATCCTCTTATTTTTGGGGAAATGGATGGTCAGGTATCTGTAGGGGTTTAGAGGAACTACAGTTGCCGGAGATCTTATTGGGAAGTTCATCCCAGACGAATATCGAACAGTAGGGGAGGGAAAGGCAGTACTGAATATACAGTTTTCAGTCCTTTGTTACCTGTGGAGTACCCAAATTTTGAGTGTTGGGAGGGGTCCGGCCTGCGATTGGCCGTGGTGGTGGAGAGCGCCATCAAGTTGCAGCTGACTTAGGGCAAACCCCATACGGTTTTCAAGTCAAGAGATGAACGGAGGAGCTTTCTCACTGCCTGCCGGCGTGGGGTAATGGTTAAAAGCGGCAGCCTCTGAACTGGAGAGCTGGGTTTGATTTCCTGCTCCTCCACGAGTAGCCTGCTGGATGATGTTGGGCCAGTCAGTGTCTCTCAGAACTCTCTCAGCCCCACCTGCCTCACAGGGTGCCTGTTGTGGGGAGAGGAAGGGAAGGCGATTGTAAGTCGCTTTGAGACACATGAGGCCTGCTGGGTGATCTTGGGCCAGTCAGTGTCTCTCAGAACTCTCTCAGCCCCACCTGCCTCACAGGGTGCCTGTTGTGGGGAGAGGAGTAGTGGAGAACCAGTGTGGGGTGGTGGATAGGAGCGGCAGACTGTAGCCTGGAGAACCAGGTTTGATTCCCCCACTCCTCCACATGAAGCCTGCCGGTTGACTTTGGGCCAGGCACCATTCTCTCTCAGGATTCTCTCAGTCCCACCTTCCTCACAAGGTGCCTGTTGTGGGGAGAGGAAGGGAAAGGTGATTGTAAGCCTCTTTGAGACACATGAAGCCTGCTGGGTGACCTCGGGCCAGTCCCAGTTCTCTCAGAGCTTTCTCAGCCCCACCTGCCTCGCAGGGTGGCTGTTGATTGGAAGCGAAGGTGAGTGTAGGGTGCTTTGAGAGACATGAGGTCTGCTGGGTGACCTTGGGCCAGTCCCAGTTCTCTCAGAGCTTTCTCAGCCCCACCTGCCTCGCAGGGTGGCTGTTGATTGGAAGCGAAGGTGAGTGTAGGGTGCTTTGAGAGACATGAGGTCTGCTGGGTGACCTTGGGCCAGTCCCAGTTCTCTCAGAGGAAGGGGGGTGGGGAGAGCTCTGACAGACACTGCTCTTTTTGAGAACACCTCTGACAGAACTGTGGCTTGCCCAAGGTCATCCAGCAGCTGCGAGTGGAGGAGTGGGGAACCAAACCCGATTCTCCCAGGTTACAGTCTGCGCACTTAACCACTACAACCAAACTGGTGCTTTGTAAGGCACTTTGAGACACATGAGGCCTGCTGGGTGACCTTGGGCCAGTCTCAGTTTCTCTCAGAACTCTCTCAGCCCCACCTGCCTCGCAGGGTGCCTGATGTAGTGAGAGGAAGGCCATTTTAAGCGTCTTTGAGACTCTTTAGGGTAGGGGTATAAAAACCAACCCTTCTTCTCTGCGTAGTGACCCTGGACTTCCTTGGTGGGCTCCCATCCAAATATTAACCAGGGCCGACCCTGCTTAGCTTCCAAGTCCTGACAAGATCAGGGTAGCCTTGGGCCACCCAGCTTACAGCACTCCACAATTCGCAATGGTTTGTTTTATAATGCCAAGGCAGAAAGGTGCATTCAGTCTTCCAAGAGCTTTAAAAGCCCAACGGACCTTCAGCCAAAAGCAGGAACGTCAGACAGGCATGTTGCTCAGAACGACTGAGCAAAAGATGGATTTTTGAGGAGAAGGACAAGGAGCCGTCCCTTGGAAGGGGGGCTCTCTGAGGCTGCATGACAGACGAGTGATGGCGCGGGGGGGGGGGCTTGGCTCGTCACACTGACTACAGTTTGGTGTCGTGGTTAAGTGTGCGGACTCTAATCTGGGAGAACCGGGTTTGATTCCCCACTCCTCCACTTGCACCTGCTGATGTGACCTTGGGTCAGTCACAAGCTCTGGCACAGCTGTCCTTGAAAAAGAGCAGTTTGTGTCAGAGTTCTCTCAGCCCCACCCACCTCACAGGGTGTCTGTTGTGGGGAGGGGAAGGGAAAGGAGTTTGTAAGCCGCTCTGAGACTCCAAGTGAAGGGCGGGGTATAAATCCAATCTCTTCTCTTCTTCTTCTTCTTCTTTCCCACAAGGTCTCCGAAGAAGAAGGCCTGGCCCTGGCCCGTGAATTCAGCTGCCCCTTCTTCGAAACCTCCGCCGCCTTCCGCTATTACATCGACGACGTGTTCCACGCGCTCGTCCGGGAAATCAGGCGGAAGGAGAAAGAAGCGGCCATGGCGCTGGGGAAGAAATGCAAGCCGCGGACCACAGTTTGGAAGAGGCTGAAGTCTCCCTTTCGGAAGAAGAAGAATTCCGTGACGTGACCGGACGGACGCCTCCGACAGCAGCGGAAGAACTGCGGCCCATCAGCGGACCAAAGTGATGCTGGAGCCTCGGATGTGTCGATGCAAACTGTGCTAATTGAACTATCTCTGTGTTTTAAGAGTGCTCGGGGAAGCCGCTCCTTTGGGGAATAACTTACCCCGGGATCAAAGGTTGTCACGATGTAACAGGCGTTTCGGACTTCATCGACTGCCTCTTCCTGGAGAAGATTTGGCAAAAAGAAAAAAAAAGTTGAACCAGATAATTGTAGATCAGTTTTGCAGAGCTGTGCAGAAACGCATAAGCAACTGGCTGGCTGGCTTATACTTCAGAGTCGCCAAGTGGAACGGTCCGATATTTATTCCCAGAAGGCTGTTGTCTGGCCACGTGAGGGTTCCTCCTGGTTCCGTTTCAGCAGGATTTCCGAGGGTAGAATTGAGCCTTCGTTCTGTTTGGGTGGTTGGCTCAATCGAGCGTCACTTTTTCTTTTTCCCTTTTCCCGAATAATGAAATGTAATAAGGTGAACTTGATGAAGGTTTTTGTCTACCGCGGGGGCTGGCGGATTAATAGATTTTTAAATGGGGGAGGGAAATTCTGAGAGAAGGCAGGCCGCCGAAACATCTTCCTTACTCACCACGTGTCTTTTCCCACTAAAACGTCTGGACTCACCTCAGATGTCCTCATGGGCAGGGCGGGGTGAAGGATTTTTGTAAGCTGCAGTAATTGTGGGAAACTGACGGCAATGGCTGTGCAGTGCCAAGTGACGGTGACACAGGTTTCTTAGCGTGTTTTATTTTCTGCAGTTGCTGGAAGTATTCTCGAGCCAGTTTGGTGTGGTGGTTAAGTGCGCGGACTCTAATCTGGGAGAACCGGGTCTGATTCCCCACTCCTCCACTTGCACCTGCTGGATGACCTTGGGCAAGTCATAGTCCCGTCAGAGCTGTCCTTGAAAAAGAGCCGTTTCTGTCAAGAGCTCTCTTAGCCCCACCTACATCGCATGGTGTCTGTTGTGGGGAGGGGAAGGGAAAGGAATTTGTAAACCGCTCTGAGACTCCCTTGGGTAGTGAAGGGCGGGGTATGAATCCAATCTCTTCTTCTTCTACCTACCTCCCAGGGTGCCTGTTGTGGGGAGGGGAAGGGGAAGGAGTTAGTAAGCCGCTCTAAGACTCCCTTGGGTAGTGAAGGGTGGAGTAGTAATCCAATCTCTTCTTCTTCTTCTTCTTCTATCTACCTCACAGGGTGTCTGTTGTGGGGAGGGGAAGGGAAAGGAGTTTGTAAGACGCTCTGAGACACCTTTGGGTAGTGAAGGGCAGGGTATAAATCCAATCTCTTCTTCTTCTTCTTCTTCCCTGATGAGTTGAGTTTTCCCTGTTCTAATACTGAGCCGGCCATGGCTGGGAGGGCGGGGGTATAAATATAATTAATTAATAAATAAGAGGCTCTTTGGAAAACTTGACTGATGTTGTCCCATGGGGGACACCAGATCGTGACGTGTTCACACCAAAGTAGTTTGCATTACCTCTCTTTCGTCATGTCCCCCCCCCCCAGTTCATAGTAAACTGCAGATGGGATCTGAGGATATTTCCCCAGTTTCCGTGTGTTTGTGTGAAGGTCTGTGGCTGGTGAAACGGAGGTGAAGGGACGATAGAAAGGCATGGCGGAGGTTGTGACAAGTAGGAGGCGGATGGGGGAGAAAGGGACCTGCTGGCCCAAGGCAAACGAGAGAAGCCAGCACGGGTTGTTACCTTCAGGGAGTCCCAGGCTCCATTTCAGGCAGATCCGAAGGAGAGGATCTTGGGTCAAAGGCGCCCAGAAGCGGTTCCTCCCACAGCCTCGGAAACAGCGGCTGACTTGTGACCTACTTGAGCAACACGGTGAGGAAGCGCGGGGTGTGCGGAGTGGTGTCAGTGCTGGGAGGTCGTGGGAGGCTTTATTCTGAGAGACTTTGGGAAGGGAAGGCGAATGTGGTGTGGAGGTGAGAGTGTCGAGGGGGTGCGCACGGTCTGGTGCAAATCCCTGCTCTTCTGTGAGGTGCTGCTGGGTAACACCGGGCCAGTCATGCGCTCTTAGCCTACCTCACAGGGTGTCTGTGAGGGCAAAATGGAGGCGTGGGGAATGATGCTCCCTCTAAGCTGTGGAGTCTTGTGAGCAAAGATCCCACTTTGCGAGCTACCAGCATTAAAGTTGTGAGCGAGCGATTCGGCTGCTGCATGAATCAGTTTGCTCTGGAGCCCTCCTTCCTCTGAGCGAAGCCAAAAATGTGTGAGCTGGAGGCTAAAAAACTCAGCTTAGAGGGAACGCTGGTCCCCACTGAGGCGGGGGAGGTGAGGTATAAATGTGAAGTACATGACACAAAGCGGGACGAAGAGGCGCTCCGTATCGCTGGGCCGAATTTTCGAGGAGTCGGTTACGAGGCCGTCCCCTGAGGCTTCCTTACGCTTCCCTCACAGCAGAGGAAGGTACAGCAACAAGTTAAAATTAACCTGGATGACTCCTAGATGAGGGCTGACTTGGGATCTGGGGCAGCTGGGTTTGAGTCCATTGGTCCTGTGAGCTGAAATAGACTGAGGATAAGAATAAGAAGAGTCCCCCGCTCTGCCGTGGAAGCCTGCTGGATGACCCTGGGCCAGTCACACGTTCTCAGCCTGACCGGCCCCTCAGAATTTGTCTGCCCCCCCCCCCCAACTTGCAATAATGTGAAAAGCCGCTTTGGGTCCCCCACCAAGGGGGAAAGCGGGATATAAATAATATTTTTTAAAAAAATAGATGCTGTCAAGAGTGTTTTGGGGGGCGACTGAAGTATAGTTGGGAGTCAGATCCTTGGAAAGTCAAGTGCCTTTAACAGGAGCACTGCTTCGTTTGCACAGAATTCTGTCGCCTTGTGCAGATTTCGTTTGGCCGGCATCCGATCTGCATCTGTTGATTTCATACACAATACACAACCAGTTTGGTACAGTGGTTAGGAGTACGGACTGTAATTTGGGAGGACCGGGTTTGATTTTCCCGCTCCTCCACATGCAGCTGCTGGTGTGACCTTGGGTCAGTTACGAGTTCTTTCTGAGCTGTTCTCTCAAGGGCAGTCCTGGAAAGAACTCTCTCAGCCCCACCTACTTCGCAGGGTGTCTGTTGGCTGGGAGGGGAAGGGAAAGGACATTGTGTAAGCCGCTCTGAGACTCCTTCGGGTCGTGAAGGGTGGGGTATAAATCCAATCTCTCCTTCTAATACGCTAACTTTGCAAATAAGAGTGGAGGTTTCTTTGGGGGGGGGTTGTTTGATGATTTTTTCCTCTGGACTGTTCTCCGCCAAGCCACTGTGCGTTCTCCCTCTCAAAGAGCAATATAGTCGGGGTTGTCACGTGATATTAGAATACAGGCATTCTTTGGGTTCTTCTAACTTAACATTTTTATTGCTCTTCGGTTGCCGACTTGTACTTACCGTAGGTTTATGTTTGTTTTAATATATATCTTAGTCACATGAGGTTTTTTTTTTTAAAAAATCACACATTCCACTTAGCATGGGAAGCTTAGAATGCATTTTTATCGACCGCAGAAATATATCTTGTATTTATATTAGTAAATTAACGTAATGATCGGGGCTGGGTCTTTCCACAGCTACTAACTTAGCAATGCGTGTGGGGTTTTTTTTAACTGAATAGATTATTCTGTTTAGTAGTCAATCAGATGCTGTCAGTATCGGGCGTATCGTACCGGATTGTCACAAAAGGTGAATTTGCGATAAACTTGTATAGGCAACGTGGGGGAGTTGGGAGGGAGGAAGGAAACCCTCCTCGATCCCGTTACTACTTTGAAGGTTTTCCAAGCTCTGCGTGACATAACAGAGCTTGTCGCTCAGCACCTGAAGCGGAATTTCTGAGGAAAGCCTGTTGGTGAAAGGATGACACCTCTGTGCCTTAAAGCAGCTGGGGGATTCAGCGTTCAGTGGTGCTAAAATGTGAGCCCCTCTCTCTCCCTGTCACCTGAAGAATAAGCACTTTCTTTGGACACGATTCGCAGTTTTTTCCACGTGTGCATTTGTGTGCAAGAGGATGAGAAATGTATCTGACCTAATAAAGACTTTGTAATAAGAGCTTTGTGTGTGTGTGTGTGCTGGGAAGATTTCAGTGCTTGGAAGACAAATGGCACCAGGTAAATCTCAGGGATCCCCAGCCAGTTTGGTGTCGTGGTGAGGAGCGCGGACTCTAATCTGGGAGAACTGGATTTGATTCCCCACTCCTCCACATGCAGCAAGCTGGGTGACCTTGGGTCAGTCACAAGTTCTGTCGGAGCTGTTCTCTCAAGGGCAGTCCTCGAAAGAGCTCTCTCAGCCCCACCTCCCTCACAGGGTGTCTGTTGCTGGGAAGGGAAGGGAAAGGACATTGTGTAAGCCGCTCTGAGACTCCTTCGAGTCGTGAAGGGCGGGGTATAAATCCAATCTCTCCTCTCTTGAGCCTGTAGGGACGTGTGGAGTTCTGACATGGCCTGGTGTGCCCAGCAGCAAGATGGCTGCCACAAAATGGCTGCTGCAGGAGGTGGAGCCAGCCACAAAATGGCTGCCACAGCTTATTTCCAGTCACACACTCCAGATCCTTGTCCTGTGACGGCAGCTGCCGCCAAAGCAACATTTTTTTTAAAAAAAAAATCTGCACAGCCAATCAGAAGCCTTGCTGGGCAAACGCTGTACCTGGGCCCACCCACTTCCTAGAAACACTTGGGCGCCAGAGAGGGTGTCAGCGCCACAGTGACCATGGGCACCACATTGGGGGATGCCTGCCCTAGCCCTCTTCCAGCTGGACACTTCCCCTGGCATAAGGCCCCACCCTCTGGTACAAGAGGCTCTTGCCTCCGTGCAGGATTCCTTGTGCTTGGAGGAAATCGCTACCATCAGTAAAACGGATCTACAGGCTCCAACCTGCAGAGCGAGACGCATCGTTTGAATGTGTGGGCTGGGGTTGTCACAAAGGAAACCCAGTTGTTTAAAAAGCACAAAACCGAAATACGAAGTGGCTGGATTTGAGTTCAGTAGGACCTTGGAAACGAACAAGATTTTTTGGGGGTATAAGCTTTCAAGAGTCAGCTCCTTTTACACTGATCTCTCCCCCCCCCCCCACTTGATTTCTGAGCTGCTACTGGACTCGAATCGAGCAGTTCTGGAGCAACCCAACACTGCTACCTCCTGAAGCCTTAAAACTTCACTAAGAGTTAAATCTATTAAACCGGTTGAGGATCTAAAGCAAAATCTGCAGTAACGAGTTTTTTTCATTTTTCCTGGTGGGCCCGTTTTTATTCACGCAAGGGCGGACCAGACCTACCTACGCTAAGCCAGTGAGCTTTTCTGGGTGTTACGTGTGTCTCGGCTTCCCCTTTCTAGTTTCTATAATTGGTTGGGGATGTTGACATCCCTGGAGAGTAGCAAAAAGAATAAAAATTACTTCTTGGTCTATAGAAGTTTTGCAGGGGCTCTTGGCTCTTCTGTTCCGAGACCCCACCCAAAGGAATGCCTTTGGAATGTCTCCAACTTGGCTCCAAAATAGCACATCCGTTGCTTCCTTGGGCTGTGTTTAGTGTTACCCAGCCCAAGGAAAAGGGTTTTTTGTGACATTCCAGCGGAGCGTTTTTCCCACGGGGTGGGGTGGGGGAGGCTGAAGTGAGGGCAGCAGTCCAGAATTATTCTCTTTTTTCCAGATGACATGCTTTAGAAATGTGTTTACGGAGAGGCTGTGCTTGTCACAGAGAAGGGGAAATTTTAAGGCAATGGATCTGGGCCAACGCTGACTTTTGGAGCCCATGGATGGGGCCTTCATTTTGTCAGGGTGCAGCATATCAAGAGAGGTTGCCAACCTCCAGGTGGAACCTGGAGATCTGGAATCATA